TAAAAATTTTGGGTTAGTTTCTCTTTAAAACTTGTTTAAGTACTGCTCTCTCTAAAATTTGATATAGTTTGTCACTCTAAAATTTTAAGATATTTTTCTCTTGAAAACTTACTAATTAATTTTTCTCTTTAAAACTTTTGAGATAGTTTCTCTCTCTAAAAAACTTTAGGTAATTTCTCTCTAACATTAGATATAGTTTATCTCTCTAATTTTACAATTCTCTCTCTCTAAAACATAAAATGTGAGATTGTTTCTCTCTCTAATCTATGGAGTTTTTTGGTGGAATTAATTGTATTTTATAAAGTGGGCATCTTCATAACAGGGAAGGGTAACTGCAATGATGCAAATCTATTTATTGTTTGCTTGAATAGAAGAAAATAATTTATGGTTAAAAGACTTTTCAGTCCCAAATTTCAATCCAAACACCAGAAATGTGTCATCTTGTTGCTTTTATGTGGCCTTTAAAGCCTTATGAGTGCTTATAAAATGAAATGATATAGTGCAACATGAACTCAGTGAGAGTGTGGTCCCTTGTGGACCATACTAAACAAATGATGTTTGCTGATAACGGACTGTGCTTGACGATCTAAGCCAGTCGGTTGGAAAAAAACCTATGTTACTTGGGCATAAAGAACAAACCGAGAAGGGTTCTAATGGGTTAGCTCTTGATGAGGTCGAAGAATATGTCGGGATGAGTGAGGCGAGGGACTGTGTGACAATTGAGTGTGATGGTGGCCTACAGAGACGGAGGCCAAAGCCTCGTCCATGTGCTATCACACGGAGTACATCGATAAATCGTTCAGAAAAGCCAGAAATCCACCTTTTAGGGTGAAGCGTATGCATGTGCGAGAAATACCCTTATGCACCATAGGAGTTGTGGTCGCATCAAGTCTAGGTGACCTTGACTCGTCTCTAGGGGAGGACCTAAACTCCATAGATTGGGATTGCGATCCCTTGGCTCATCGGTCAGACTTTGGTGACCCGCTAATGAACCCCTGCTTAGACTGTAGGTCATGGGAAACACTGAGTTGGTCTGATAAAGCAATTGTGGTCTATAGTTCACAGTTGAAGGTGAAGTGCCCCATGATTGCTGATTCCTAAACTATATGGATCATTTTCCCATCAAATTAATTTAATTGTGTTTGTTTTATGAAGAAAATTATTTTAGGATTATTATTTGAATTTTTATGAGCTCTTGGATATTTTATTTATAAGTTTTGGATTTATAAAATTAAAGATATTGATTTTATAATGATTTAAATATTTAAATAATATATAAAATATTTTTATTAATTTTAAATATATAAAAATATCATGGGGGCCCATTGTGCACATGGGCCCACAATATTTCTAGAAGGTAGGCCCATGAATGCCTCCCTTGGGTGACACACCCCACCCTTATTCTCTTTCATATTTTTTGGTGATATGGCATGTGGCCATATGGTGTGAAGATATTGACTTGATATATCTTTGAAAGATTTTATGGAAAGATTGAGTAGACTTATGCTATTTTATGGTAGGCACAACATTTTGATTAGATTTAATTTATTTAATTTCTATTGATGGGAAAATGGTTTAGGAGGGGAATAATGGTTCATGCACCTTCTATAATGTTGATGGCTCATTTATGAAATTGATGGCTCAAATCTCTCACCCCACAAGTCACCTAAGATCAATGGTTCATATGCAATCTCACAAGAAGAGACAAGCCAAGGAAAACCCTAAGAAACCCTGATCTTATTCAAAACTTATAAAAAGGGATTGTCTCTACCCAAAAATCTCTATATCTTATCTCTTGTACTTAATTCTCATCTTTCTCTCTCTTATCCTACAAAGAAGTATGCCCCACTTAGAATTTCTCTCTCTCTTTTAAAAAAAGCTTCTCTCTCTCAAGAAAGCCCAAGGGGGCACGCACCACTCTCTCATCTTTGATCTCTCTCTCTCCCACATTGTAAAAAAAGCCTAAGAATTTAGGTTATGGAGTTCTTCTCTCTCTTATCTCTCAACTATTGATTTATGGCTAGGGGTTTTAGGGTTTAGCGAAAAGATAATCTATCTCTCTCAAACTAGGTTGCTAAGAGAATTCACCTAGGGTTTGAGTTTGTGATCAAAGAGGTTCATGTTCTATTGGTATGGCTTGGCCTAAACTTGCTTTTCCAGTTGAGATTGAAGGTTGATCATAGATCTCGCGTCATCAAATGGTGGTGACTCAGTGTGGGGTGTAATAAGTCCGGTTGAAGTAATCTGCGATACACTTCATTTTGTTTCTTGCAATCTTATCTTTTATTCTCAAGCATAATGCATA